TTCCCACCTTTAAGAGGGAGTTAAAAGTGTATCTCTTCTGGCAGGCCTTCCCAGATTTGTTCTCATGTCAGTTTTATTTTATGTGTTGCCTTTGTTAATATAACTCACTGTTGGTTTTAATTTCTGGTAAACTGCCCGGAGCCTATGAGAATGAGGTGGTATATAAATATGAAGGTAAATGAAAAATACAGGAGGAGCCTTGTATCCATGGGAAATAGGTTCCAAGACCCCCAGCAGATGCCTGAAATCGTGGGTAGTAGCAAACACTATATACTGTACAGTCAGCCCTCCACATTTGGCTCCCTGCAAAAGTGGAAAAACCATGACGATCTCTAGGAACCCTGTTTGGGGACACCATGCTCTTTCTCAAAACTCGCCAGCCTCACTCACATGTTTTGTGTCTCAGTGCATGTGAAGACTCTATAGACATTTGCAGGTTTTGCACTTACACTGGAATCCCGCTCCCTTAACCCCCACAAATGTGGAAGGCTGTGGTCAGCTGTAGTTAACTGAAACTGAAGTAACAAACAGCATATATGGTTTTCTCCACGGGGCAGGAAGAGGGTGATCTGAGGGTTAGCAATTTATGTCCAACTCCCCTGTCATGGTCAGACCACTTCCTCGTGAGGTTTGAGCTTGATGGTGACCCTTCCCTCTGTAAGGGTGCGGATCCTTTTGTCTTGGTCCACCCTTGGAGCCGGATGGATTCCTGAAAGCTCTGGGGAGGTTTCCGGTTGATAAAGCTGGCACTCCTGTTGATGCTCTGGTTGAACTGTGGAATGGGGAAATGGCCAGAGCTATTGACATGATTGCTTTTAAGCGTCCTCTCCCACCTGACAGAGCCCGTTCATCCCCTTGGTGTACACCTGAATTACGGGCGATGAAGCGGGTTGGGAGATGGCTAGAGCATAGGTGAAGGAAATCTCGGGATGAATCTGATCGAACACACTTAAGAGCTCATTATCGAACCTATGCTGTGGCGGTGAGGGCGGTGAAGAAGAAATACTTCTCCATTTCCATTGCCTCCTCACAGTGCCGTCCAGCGGAGCTTTTTCGGGTGGTACAGGGGCTGGTACATCCAGGCCCTAAGAAAGATCCTGTACCACCCTCGATAACCCGCTGTGACAACTTTGCCCAGCACTTCAAGGAGAAAGTTGCTCAGATTTGTTATGAGCTAGACTCTGCTAGTGATTCAGATTCCATGGGGGAGTGCCAATGTTACTGTCTGGTCACATATTGTTGGATGAGTTTCGGTTATTGCGGCCTGAGGATTTGGACAAGTTCGTCCCACCACCTGTTTACTTGACCCTTGCCCGTTGTGGCTACTGTCCAAAGCCAAACACGGGGTTGGTGCCTGGATCCTGGAGGTCATCAATGCCTCTCTGAGGGATGGCTGGTCCTAAAGAAGGCATCCCTGGATCCAGAGATGGCTGCCAATTATAGACCGGTGGCCAACATCCCGTTCTTTGGCAAGGTGTTGGAACAGGTGGTGGCAGGACAACTCCAAGCTCTCTTGGATGAGACTGATTATCTGGACCCATTTCAGTCCAGCTTCAGACCCAGGTATGGTACTGAATCTGCCTTGGTCACCCTGTATGATGAGCTGTGCAGGGAGAGAGACGGGGAGTGCATCCCTGTTGGTTCTCCTGGACCTCTCAGCGGCTTCGATACCATCAACCATGGTATCCTTCTGGATAGGCTAAGGGGACTGGGAGTAGGAGGCACTACTTGGCAGTGGTTCCACTCCTACCTCGACAGCCGATTCCAGAAGGTGGTGCTGGGGGACTTTACCTCTGCGCCATGGCAACTATGCCATGGAGTACCGCAGGGGTCTTTTTTGTCCCCTTGCTATTCAACATCTACATGAAACTGTTGGAAGAGGTCATCCAGAGGTGTAGGCTGTGGAATCATCAGTACGCTGATGATACCCAGCTCTACCTCTCTTTTTCAACCAGTCCAGTTGAGGCAGTGGCTGTACTGAACCGGTGCCTGACCGAGGTAATGGGCTGGATGAGGGCCAATAAACTGAGGCTCCAGACAAGACGGAGGTCCTGTTGGTGGGTGGCTCGGGCTTTGGGGTAGGTGACTTGGACCTTGTCCTGAATGGGGTTGCACTCCCTCTAAAGGACAGAGTCCGCAGCTTGGGAGTGCTCCTCGACCCAGAGCTTTCTTTGGAGGCTCAAGTGACTGCTGTGGCAAGGAGCGCTTTCCTTCAGCTTTGGCTAATCCATCAGCTGCATCCCTACCGGGAGGACGACTGCCTCGCGACAGTGATGCATGCATTGGTTACTTCCCAATTGGACTACTGTAATGTGCTCTACGTGGGGCTGCCCTTGAAGACAGTCCGGATACTTCAGATGGTGCAAAATTGAGCAGCCAGGTTGCTGACCAGGACTGGTCATTACTCTCATATAACCCCAATCCTCTACCAGCTTCACTGGCTCCCCATCGAAGTCCGGGCTCAATTCAAGGTGCTGGTTATCACCTACAAAGCCCTTAATGGCTTGGGACCTGGATACCTAAAGGAATGCCTGCTTCCTTATTTGCCCTCCCACCCCTTGAGAACGGCAGCAGAGGCCCTCCTCCAGTAGCCTTCTGTGAGAGACATCAGGAGGCAAAGCACCCGGAGGAGGGCTTTCTCTGCGGTGGCGCCCCACATGTGGAATGTGCTCCCCAGAGAGGTCCATCTGGCGCTGTCGTTATTTGTTTTTCAGCGTCTGGCTGAAAACCCTTTTTATTTTAAACCTTTTTATTTAAAAAATATTTTAATGACGCTTAATATCTATAGGTTTTAATTGTGCAGCCAGGGTGTTTCTGGATTTTAATTGTATTTTGTATCATGTTTGTTTATGTGAGCCGTCCCGAGGCTATAAGCAATGGGACGGCATACAAAAACTCTAAATAAATGGGGGTCTTACTGTATCCCATTAAAGAAATTCATCTATCCCTCTGCCTTCTGTGTTACTACTCAGCTGCTCTTCAAACTCTTATTTGCTATTTATGTCCTGCCTTTTTTCTGTAAAGAACTCAAAGTGGCCAACGTTATTCTCCTCCTCAATCTTATCCCCACAGCATCAACACTGAGGTAGGTTTTGCTGAGAGTCTGGACTGGCCCAAAGTCACCCATTGGCTCCATGGCTGAGCAGGGACTAGAACCCAGATTGCCTGAGTCCCGGTCCCATCACTACACAACATTTGGGTATCTTCTCTGTTTACACTGTTCTTTCTACTTTGCCATCCTTCTCAATTCTGGACAATATTTTCTAAATCTGTATCTCAGCTCCACTTTCTTCTTCCCCAATACTGAACTGCAGTTATGATCAGTAACAAAATACCTTCCGATTTATTATACACAATAGAACTGGATGATTTTTTTTCTGGTCTACCTTTATTTTTAAGTGCGATCCATTTCCCATTCGAGTTCATGAGTAAACTATATGCTATTTCTCTTCAAAGAGATCTCATTATTAGGTAACCTCCCCATTATCTACAGCTGTGATTTATCCAGAAGCGTGGCTCTATTCCTGACATAGCTGGGGGAACACTGGAGTGATAGCCTTCAATAACCTCAAGATGCACATGGTGGGGGGTATAAATTCTAATACGTTAGAATTTATGAGAGTAGTGTGAAGGGACCGTGACTAGGCACCTGCAGATATTTGTTACATTCTGCAGCTACCGGGAAAATTATAAGGTCTGGTTTGTACTGCAGCCCACTGGGAAAATTAATACAGAGAGGCTGTCACATTATGCTGGAATGGCACCATTTTCTTGTTGGGTTGTTTGAATCTGGCAGCAGTGCTTGTTTGAGGGTTGCCAGTCTCATACAAAACCCTGTTGCATAGGTTTGCATGATGCAGCCATGTTGGGTACCATGCAAGAATGGTGCCTGTGGGGGACCACTCGTGTAGTGCCGGGTGCCTGCAAGTATATTCAACTAGAATGGGCTTTAATGTTACACAAACCAACTCAATAGCTAACCTTGAGTTTCAAGTATAGTTGGCTGTCTGCTCTTCTGAAAAAGTCACTTGAAAGTCTTAGAGGAACAAAACTAAAATTGCTACTCTGGATGGCTGGTTCCAGTCAGGAGATAGTATTATCTAGTTCAGTGGTCTGACTTGTCCTTCATTTTATTGTTCCTCACATATAAGGCAATTGATATATCACATTATGTGTCAGCTCATACTGAGACATCTTGTTTCTGCTTCACTTTCTGAACAGTATCTGCAACTTTATAATTTTGAATGGCTGTGAGGCGAGATGAGAGGCAGTAAAATGGAAATCTGATAAGTGAAACAGTGCTGGTATCAGCCATACCAACCATGCTCCGACTTCCCTGGCCACAGGTTCACAACTGTTAGGTTTATTGATGTGCCTTTATTTTAGAAAATGTTGTAAAAGCAACTGGCAGGATGG